TAAACTCACTGACCTCTGTTACCACCATAGAATATTTGGATTATTTAGAATTACAGAAAGTGGTATATTTAAGACTTTGGGCTAGGCATCATATTTTTCTTTGAGAATTTGGCATACTTCCTTAGAGAGGGAAAACTAGAATTAGTATAGCCACAGAAGGCAGGACGAGGACTCATAAGTAGATGTTAGAAGGAGGGAGGCTCGGACCCAGTTTAAGAAAGGTGTTGCCAATTAGAGCCACCCAGACAAACGCACTGTTGTTGCTTGTGATGTAATGAGTTCTGTACTGCTGGAGGCTCTATGACCATCTGCTGAGAAAGGACAGTTTTACCAGTTGGAAGTTTGTACCATATGATCTCAGAGAGGGCCTTTAAAACTCTAGGTTTTTGTGCTTGCATTTCCCATCACTCTGAATATTTGAGACTTGATGTTCTCCAAATCTAACATAAGGCACTCCTAAGAATAGGAAGCATATATAAAGGAGTTAATAATCTCAACTTCCCTAAAGAATAATGTTCTTTGCCTAGGATGATTATAAAAGGAATTAAAGGAGAAGTTGCAGTTTTAGATTTCCCATATTATGCCAGAAGGGTTTTTCAGTCAGGTTGACTTTGTTTTCAAAAGGTGAGGGTATTTTTCATCACAGTCCAAATATTGATGTTTTATGCAAATTTAAGATCTCCTCTGGCTATCCATTTTATTTCATTGGAATAAACTTTTGTTACTGGTTAAAGTGAAGTTAATAATTGAAGAGCACACTTGACATAAAATCTCAGTCGAAATGGAACTACCTGCTTGCTCTTGGGCTCATGCGGAAGTGTACGTGATATGATTGCTTTGGATTCTACACCTTTTAAGATTCTTTATCCCACCTGACTGGTATATGATATGTACATATCTATCTATATGTGTGTGTATTTATATTTTAGAATATTGGTATTCATGATCTATTTTGCTCTATTAATAATAAAAAGTACATTTGATCAGTTAGTCGAATTATAAAATATTATGTATTTACCGGTTTCTGTCTTTTCCTAAAGAATCATAGAGCTGTAAGTGACTTTAAAAATCATCTAATTCAATCCATTTACTTTACAGAAGATAAAATTGTGATCTAGAGAGGCTAAGTAATTTGTCCCCAGTCATACTGCTAGTTTTTGACTGAACTAAGTCCAGATTTCATATCTCCTAGTCCTGGACCAGTGCTCTTTTTGCTGTACCACATTACCTTACTAGTAATTCATGAAGTGATGCATCTTCCTTCTGTTAAGATGTGTATATTTATTTATTAACATTAAAAATAAATAAAACATTTAAAACAAATAAAAAATTAATTTCACTGAGAGGCCAAATGTAAGTATAGGACTTTCTGGTAAACTGTTACCACTGTAGTATCTTTCAAAAGCTCTATTTAGAGTTTAGGAGTTGATAAGTTCTTGAAATTTAACTAAGTGGCATATTTTCCTTATTGAGATTAGTAACGGAGTTCTGCTTTTCTGAGGAACAAAAAAAATATGTTCAATCTATTCTCCATGTGTCCAAGAATGATCTTTTAAAGATAAGCAAACCTAGTCACACTACTCCTCCTGTGTGTAAAATCCCTTAGCAACTCCTTTCACCTTCAGGATAAAATTTAAGCCCTTAACATGGCCTACAAGGTGTGATCTGGGTCCTGCTTATATCACCTCTCACCTGTCCTTTCCCTCTTAGACGTGATTAACTTCTTTTAGTTCTTTGAATCAACCAGCTCCTTTCCCTTCAGGCCTTCCAATATGCGTGTGTTGGTTTTCTATCGCTTAGTAACAGATTACTACCGCAAATTTAGTGGCTTAAAAAACCACCAGTTTATCATTTCACAATTTCTGTAGGTAAGAAGCCTGACACGGTATGGTTGGATTCTCTTCTTAGGGTTTTAGGGTTTCACCAGGCTACAGTCAAAGTACACTTGACCCTTGAACATGTGGGGAGGTGTGGGGTTAGGGGCACCAACACACACTCCTCTCGCCACCCTGCGAGCAGTTGAAAATCCACATATAACTTTACAGTCTGCCCTCCATATCCATGGTTCCGCATTTGTGGATTCAACCAACTACAGATCATGCAGTACTGTACTATGTATTTACTGAAAAAAAACCTGTGCATAAGTGGGCCTATGCAGTTAAAACCCATGTTCAGATCCCTGTTTCTTTGATACATCTTTTAAGTCTACAGTAGCATGTCAAACACTTCTCATTCTTAAAATCTCTCTTACTCTTCTGGCACGTCTTAATGGCTTCCTTCTCTGTCCTCAGCCAGGAGAAAGCTCTGCTTTTCTTTTTTTTGGCTGCATTGGGTCTTCATTGCTGCGCGTGGGCTTTCTCTAGTTGCAGCGAGCAGGGGCTACTTTTCGTTGCAGTGCGCCGGCTTCTCCTTGAGGTGGTTTCTCTTGTTGCGAAGCACAGGCTCTAGGCACCTGGGCTCGGTAGTTGTGGCACAGGGGCCCTAGAGCACGTGGGCTTCAGTAGTTGCCGAGCGTGGGCTCAGTAGCTGTGGCATGCAGCCTCAGTAGCTGTGGCTCGTGGGCTCTAGAGCACAGGCTCAGTAGTTGTGGCGCATGGGCTTAGCTGTTCCATGGCATATGGGATCTTCTCAGACCAGGGCTCGAACCCGTGTCCCCTGCATTGGCAGACGGATTCTTAACCACTGCGCCACCAGGGAAGTCCTGAAAACTCTGCTTTTAAGGACTCATGTGACTCTTCAGTCCCACCTGGGTAATCCAGGACATAATCTCCCTGTCGGCTAACTAATAACCTTCATTATACCTGCAAAGTCCCTTTGCTAAGTAGAGTAACATATTCATGGGCATAACACCAGGGATTGCAGAGGTCATGGGGTTCAGAATTCTGCTACCACAGTGCAGTGAGTACCCTCTGACTGGAATAGCCTTTCTAGACCCTGCATCCTGCTCCTTCATCTGCTAGCTTTTACTTTATCCACTGCGTCTCTGATTTCTTTTTGCCCCTCTTTTTTTTCCTCTCTTCTTATGCTCTGATTAAGAACCTCTCTTTAGTGCTCTCAAATTACTCTGTACTTCCCCACTGTACCACTTGTCACTTTGTATGCTTATCTGTGTCCTTTCAGGGGGACCGTCTATCACCTCTGAGGAGAGAAGCCATGTTTATCTCGGCACATTTGTGTTTCCCTGCTAACCCATGTATCTGCCGTACAGTTGATTCCCAATATAAAAAAAAAAAGATGAATCAATGAATTATTTATATCCATGAAAGGAGGAAGCATGATTACTATCTTTAATATAAATTTCTAAGACTGTCACATGGAGGAAGAGAGAAGACTATTTATTTATTTATTTATTTACTACCATTTAACCTTCTGAAAATTTATTTAAATTTAAATTGTGACAATGGGACACAAGAATCATTAGAACTAACCTAGGAATATAGTGAAAAGAAATCTGAGTGTAACAGTTCCACAGAAGGCCAAGGAAGCTCTGGTCCTTATTAAAACAGAAGGTCCGAGTTAAGTGATGTATTTGAGAAGACAATTTTAACTCAATATGTACAATTTTTTTTTTTTTTTTTTGCGGTACGCGGGCCTCTCACCGCCGTGGCCTCTCCTGTTGCGGAGCACAGGCTCCGGACGCACAG